GCACATATCTTATTTGTAGTGCAAAAAACACTTTAAAACAATACAATAATTAAAATGAAGAACAATTTTAACAAATATAAACTTATTAGTATTTCAATGGGAAAGGTGTGAAGGCCTGCTTTTGCTGATGAGATAGGATTGTTTTTGTTGTTGTGTGCTTTCAAGTCATTTCAGACTTAGGTTGACCCTGAGCGAGGGCCGGGTAAATGACCTTCGAGGGCTGTATCTGGCCCCCGGGCCTTAGTTTGAGGACCCCTGGTTTAATTTTTGCATGGGACCCAAAACAGCATACAAAAGGTAAAGACATACATATAAAGTATGCATCATACAAAACTTAAAATATAATTAAATTCTCAGTAGAATTTGAAACAACTGAAAGCATGCTCATTTTTTTTAAAAGGAAAATAGCAAATACTATTAACAAAACATATTGTTAAAAACTGTTTCCCTGACCATCCCCAGAGCTATCAGTCCTCAATGGTCTGCCAAAACAAATCAAAACCTTCAAGGGAGCTACCAGGCTCACAATTATTGGACGGAGACCATGTTTGTGCTCTCACCAGATAGTCCTGTGAGGATGGTGGGACTAAAACAGTGGTTCCCAACCTTTTTTTTTTTTTTGACCAGGGACAACTTGACCACGGACCACTCTTCAACATTAGTACCAAAAGTTAAATCAGTTTTTGGTCAACTTTAGATTCAGTTTGGTTATTTGGGGTGCTGGATCAGAAAATTGCATATGATAGACCACATTAGCTCTAATTTCTGATACAGAACATATGCCATCCAGTAGTTGCCATCTGCTCACCCACAGAAAACCATATTGAATAATCTAGAGCTGATGTGGTAGTAGTAATCTTTCTTGGTTAGACAGCCTCTCCCCTCCCGATATCTCCATTGCCTCAGCACTATAAGAGGGTTTCACGAGAGCAGTTGCTCTTATTGCCGCATAGTTTTGAGGCAATGGTGTAGTAATGATGAGGCTGTGAACCATATTTTTGTTCTTGTGGACCACTGGGGTCCACGGACCACAGGTTGGGAACCACTGGACTAAAGGAAGAGCTTTCCCAGAAGATTTCCGTATACAGGCAAGCTCAAATATGAAAAGATTTTTGGTCAGATAGACAGGATATAAATCACTTTATGTTGGGGAGGGGGGGAGAGAGAAATGTTCACTCATAAAGACTTGCATAAGACCCACTCAATGATTCTGTCCAGTGTTAACTATGTTGTGGCAACTTGTCGTCTTCTAGTTATAGAGATAGGTACCAAACAGATATCTAGATGTATTACCAGTAAAACAGATGTATTACCAGTGGCTTGATCATTGAGGTAGAACTCTGAGAGACTAGGATTCAAGTCTCCATTCAGCCATGGGAACCCACTTGGTGACCTTGGGCAAGTTACACTCTCTTGGCCTCAGAGGAAGGCAGTGGCAACCCTCCTCTGAATAAATTATGCCAACAAAAGCATGAGTTGACTTGAAGGAACATAACAACAAGAACGAGAATATATAGACAGCTATATGGATATCAGTATAACGTGATGATTGTCTTAGAAATGCTTACCCATGTCAGTATCTTTTTCATTGTAATGAAAGGTAAACCTCTTGAGTTTTAGTAAGATCAATGACATGAGAAAGTATTTTGGGAATCCAGAGATTATAGCAGCCAGTTGAGATGCTTTATCATCTGAAGTAAAATACAGTAATGTATTGCTTTCTTCATGGAGACCATAAACTGGAGTAAGCAAGTACAGCTAGGCTATGTTTGAACAGTTTGCTTGTATTTATATGTTTTCTCTGTTTTTACTGCTTAATGTGTTGTATTGTATATATTTGTATTTGCAATGTGGCATTGAAATTGCCAAAACTGTAAGCCGCTCTGAGTCTCCTTTAGAGCGAGGTAGAGCAGGGTAGAAATATAGTGAATAAATAAATAAATAAATAACCTCCAGATGTTATTGGTCTGCAAGTCCCAGTAGCCCTAGCCAGCAGGTTGATTTCTGATAATCAAATCTGATAACAATCCCCTCTTACCAGTATTAAAAAAACTCTAAAATTACAACAGCACAACAACAGAGAGGAAACAAACAAGGACATCTAATCACCTCTCAACAAAAGTTTGCTCTAGGCAATGTCAGGCTATTATATGCTAATCAAGGTGGTCAGTTGAAACATTCACACCTAGCTCCAGCAGACAAGAGTCCTTTGTCTCACCCTGGTCATTCCACAGATATATAAACCCTTTTCCTAGTTCCAACAGACCTCACTACCTCTGACGATGCTTGCCATAGATGCAGGCAAAACGTCAGGAGAGAATGCCTCTAGACCATGGCCATATAGCCCAAAAAAACCTAAACAACCCAATCCCCTCTTAGTATTGAAACATTGTAGCTGTTGATGCATGGTCCACTTTACCGCAGAGAACATGAAACTGATAAACACTATAATGCTATATTGGAAAAGAATAAAAATTAACCACATGAAAAATAGCTTGTGGTGAAGCAGTCTTGTCCACAGCCTTTGATGTCCAAGGAGCCCTCTGGTGCATTTCTGTGTCCTGTTTCACTTCCTTCAGATTGAAAAGGTATTGGGAAAAGGACCTTCCATTCATCTTGCTGCACATAGCAATATCTATAAAGTCCTTGTGGATAAAGGTATACCCAGTGTGTTCTTTCAGGCAAGGGTTTTAGCCCGAAGGCAACTCAAGGTGGCATACAAACTGGCAACAATTAGATGCCACAACACACATATATTCATCCATCAGTTAAAACAATGAAATCACATAATAAAATCAGAAGCAATACAGTTGGCTATCCATGGATGCTGAATCCCCAGAATCAGCCATTCCAGGTTGAAAATGTTCCAATTTTTTAAAATCCCCAAAACAAAGCTTGATTTTTGCTGTCTTATATCAAGGACACAATTTTACGGCACCATTGTAAGAAATGAACATACGTAGATTTTGGTGTCCAATGGGGGCCCTGGAGCTGAAGCCCAGCAAGTGCCAAGGACCCACTATATATCTTTCAGCAGTAGTAGTGAGGAAGGGAAATTGTCCTTGATGTTTATTTATTTATTTATTTATTTATTTATTTATTTATTTATAGCATTTCTACTCTGCCCTTCTCAACCCCCGGAGGGGGACTTAAAGCAGCTAACACAGGCAGCAATTCGATGCCACAATATCAATAATCACCAGTATAAAACCATAAATACATAACAATTAATTATATAATCACACAATCACATAATCACATATCTGTTTCCAATTATCATAACCGTCATCAGGTCTAGCCAAAAGTCTGGTTCCAAAACCACGATTTTAGTTTTTTTCTGAAGGAAAGGAGGGAGGATGCCGATCTAATCTCACTGGTGAGCGAATTCCACAAGCAGGGGATCACCACCGAGAAGGCCCTGTTCCTTGTCCCCACTAGGTGCGTTTGCGAGGCTGGTGGGACCGAGCGTAGGGCCTCCCTAGCAGATCTTAGACTACAAGGAGGAACGTAGAAGGAGATACGTTCGGATAAGTAAGCGTTCTTCTTATAGACTTCCCCATCTTATTAGACCTTTCATTTTGGAAAGCTTAATGCCAGATTAAATAGGCTTTTGACGGGCATATTAAGTTCAGGATTCCTGTTTCGTATCACTGCAATAACATAAAGCGTCTTGTCACTTTTAGTTGTTTGCAGTGGCAGCTGGTGACTTCACTCCAGATTTTACTTCACACATTAAGGACCTCATCAAATGGACATCCTTGATGCAGGAAATCCATAAGGTAGCAGGGCAAATCGTGGGGCAGTTGGGCGAATCCATCACCCAGCATCCTGCATCACCCGCTTGCCCATCACACATTGGAAAGCATACCTTTCTGGCTTGCTCCCACACTATTCCCAGCATTTTCAATCTGAACATGTGTAGTCTCCCAAATGCAGAGTTCCCCATCCTAGAACTGTTTGTTGACGCAGCCAGCATGGAGTCCTGCCGGAAGTAGCTGTGCATCGTGTGATAGGATCAGTTGGGGGGCATGCTGGTTGAATTGGTGAACTGTTCTAGGACAGGGAATGTGATGAGGTTATAAGTGACTGACTAGGTGCTGAGTCTTATCTCTAAAATAATTCAGGACCTTGGATAGTTCTTCTAAAGTTGTCTAAAACCTGGAGTGACTTTAGTGCTCCACTGATGTAAGAGTAACTGACTACCACTGGTTGTTTGCTTCTTTTCTTGATGGTCTTATTGTGTGTCCGGACATTGGACAAAACTATAGAACGGTGAGAGGTAATGGCCATTGCACTTCCATTGTTAACAATATAGACTGTATATGTTTGTACTTTGCTAAATAGCAATTACTTTGTGCAATTAAATTCTGTTGAAATGAGCAAGCATACTTTTCAACAGCATGTTTAAGTCAAGGGTATATTAAAGAACAAAACAAGAAACTTGACAGCAGTGTGGCTTGAAAATCCCCTGAAGCTGCAATATGTTTGACAAGACATTGTTATGTTTGGCCAGTTACAAGTTTTCAGTTGCTTGAATCATTAAGTGTTTCAGTTGTAACTATAATAAAACTTGCCATTGACTTGTTAGTGCGCGTAGTTCCAGTTATCAAGGGTAACAACAATATTGTGTAGAGGACTAAGTGGGTTCCCTCACTTGTCACCATATAGCTTTAAGAATGTGTGTCACAGCTCATGTGCTTTTTACGTAACATTTTTTGTAGAAGTTATCTTGAGCTTTACCACCCACCACCTTCATCTAAAACACTGCAGAATCTCTTTCAGCTGTGAATAGAAAGCTTGCCTTACAGTTTGCATCTCAAATCTTCCCTGTGTTGATTTTGTTATGTAACAAGGCTACATGTTAGTTCCAGATCTGGGAGATTTAAGTAACTGGATATGATCCAGGTCATTTAGGTTAGCAAGGGAAAAAGACAGCGGGTAAATGGAGATAATCTTCTGTGATAACCACACTAATATCAAATGTGCTTGTTTCATTTCAGGACAACATTGCCTTGTTCTTAAGAGGCTGCAAGGAACTGGGGCTCAAAGAATCCCAGCTTTTTGACCCAGGAGACCTGCAGGACACCTCAAACAGAGCAGCAGTCAAGTAAGTGGAACATCATTTTCATTTCTGGGTTTAAACCAGTATACATGTCGTCAATATCTTTGTAAGGCTATGTCTTACCACATGGTAAGGGCTGGAGGTTTAGCACAGCTGGTAAATCATCAGCAACTATAAGATCTATCAACCGAAAGGTTGCAAGTTCGAACCCCGGGTTGGCATGGGCAGCCAACCATCAGCCCTGCCCACTGTTTACCTAAGCAGTTTGAAAACAGCTTTAGCTGTAATTAGAAAAATTAGGTACCACTAAAAAGCGGGGGAGGTGTTTTACAATGGAATGTGGCTAGGGAGGTTGCCAACCTAATCTCCCTGGGGAGGGAGTTCCAGAGACGAGGGGCCACCACTGAGAATGCCCTTTCTCTCGTCCCCTCCAGCCATGCCTGAGACAGGGGCAGGAGCGAGAGAAGAGCATCCCGGAAGATCTTAAGGACCGCGTGTGCTTGTAGGGGAGGATACGATCACGCGGATAGGCAGGTCCAGAACCGTTTCGAGCTTTATAAGTAATAACCTGCACCTTGAATTGGGACCAGAAACTTATTGGCAGCCAGTGGAGCTGTTTAAACAGGGGGGTTGACCACTCCCTGTAACTTGCTCCAGTTACCAATCTGGCCACCGACCTTTGCACCGCAAGGAATTCCGCAAGGAATTAAAGACGTGGATGTTTCGTCATGCATTCGACTGACGACTCCTATGACAAACGACCTGTATCGTGACCTGAATCATGATTTAATCTGAATTCCTATATTTCATTATAGTTTCTGAACCGTTTTTAAGGGCAGCCCTATGTAGAGTGCATTTGTTGTTGTTCATTCGTTCAGTCGTTTCTGACTCTTTATGACTTTATGGACCAGCCCACGCCAGAGCTCCCTGTCATCCATCACCACCCCCAGCTCCTTCAAGGTCAATCCAATCACTTCAAGGATCCCATCCATCCATCTTGTCCCTAGTCGGCCCCTCTTCCTTTTTCCTTCCATTTTCCCCAGCATAATTGTCTTCTCTAAGCTTTCCTTTCTTCTCATGATGTGGCCAGAGTGCATTACAGTAGTCTTAATCTTTAGATAACTAAGGTGTGGACCACCATGGTCAAGTCAGACTTCTTGAGGTACGGTCGCAGCTGGCGCACAAGTTTTAACTGTGCAAAGGCCCTCCCGGCTACCGCCGACACCTGAGCATAAAGTGTCAGCGCTGAGTCCAGGAGGACCCCAAAACTGCGAATCTGTGTCTTCAAGGGGAGTGTAACCCTGTCAAAGACAGATTTCCACCCTATACCCCATTCAGCTGAGCAACTGACCTGGAGGACGTCTGTCTTGCTGGGATTCAATTTCAACCTGTTGGCCCTCAATTTCAACCTGTTGGTATTATAGGGGAATGTATGCAGCAAGTAGAGGAATTATATGAAAAATGGTAAAGGAGCTATAGGAAGGGATAGCCAAGCCAAATGGGTTTGGTACCTAGGTGTGTCACAGGCTATAATAATTGAGCTTTTAACATAGGGACCCTGTACAGGTACAGAAAGAAGATTTATAATCTTATCAGTCAGGCCATATTTGTGATGGAAAAGAACCAAACAAGACTTCGGAAAGTCACAGTAGGATTGGTCAGGAGGGTTGGCAAACTCAGGAGCTTGACTATCTTATGAAAGATAATTATGGTAGTTCAAATATTTTGCCTGGGGCACTGTGAAGACAAAATTCCAGTCCTGTTTTTTTTAAAATAACACGATGCTTTAAAAACAAATGATATGATAGCAGTGAGATGAAAGCATTTTTTTTTTAAAAAAAAAAACCCAAACTTAAATTTATGGCTCTTAATCATATTTAAGCCCTGAACGCTCCTAAGTGGGCAAAAAAAATTAAGTACCTTGTTGTTGCAGATTAAAAGGACTTTCAAGATGGTTTATAGTACTCATTAAAGGATCCTCGAAAGCTGATGGCCCTGTGATTAAACAAACTATCGGCCTGTTTAACTTCTGATGGAAACTGTAGACAGTGTGTCTGCGTGTGCATGAGACAGAATTAGATCAGGCAAAAATTTCTCCCTCAGCCATTTACGTATGCAAGACAGTGAACATGGAAGTACCAAAATGATGGAAATGAAGACCACTAATTTTATTTATCATCTTCTGTCCTCCAAGTTGGTCTGAGGGCTCCATTTGCATTTCCAATATGTTCTCTCGTTCGGATTCGGTCCGACTTCAGACCATTGACTATGACTATCCCAAATGGAACTGCACTGGGACCTTATCACATTGGGAAATACTCCATTTCTGAAACTATTTGAGAATGATTTCGAACAGGTCCCATCACATGATGTCTGTCCCATCCTGACAGTATTCCATTAGAATCTGTCTGCAAAGCGTCACAGAAGCAGATTGTTTGCAGGCAGAATTCTAATTGTATTTTTTGAAATTCTACCGATTCTTCCATTGCTGAAGCACTGTTTTTGTGTATGATTGGGAAAGCTGTATGTATCCCATCAGCAACTATACTTTCTAAAAGGTCATATAGTGATGTAGGGGGTGTTTTGAATGGATCAGGAGGAGCCAGCCTTCAATGATGTGATAAGTATTTTTGAATCATAAGAATCATAATAATCAGGTGTGATTTATTTATTTATCATGTCAGGCAACCGAACATTTGTATTACATTTTTGACAGAACAAACAAACAAACATACAAAAGACACAGAGTTTGCAAGCTTGGAAGTTGATTAAATGTCCTTTGACCAATATCTGGCCACTTGGAGTGCTTCTGGTGTTGCCGCAAGAAGGTCCTCCATTGTGCATGTAGCAGGGCTCAGGTTGCATTGCAGCAGGTGGTCTGTGGTTTACTCTTCTCCACACTTGCATGTCGTGGATTCCACTTTGTAGCCCCATTTCTGAAAATTGGCTCTGCATCTCGTGGTGCCAGAGCGCAGTCTGTTCAGCGCCTTCCAAGTCGCCCAGTTTTCTGTGTGCCCAGGGGGAGTCTCTCATTGGGTATCAGCCATTGATTGAGGCTCTGGGTTTGAGCCTGCCACTTTTGGACTCTCGCTTGCTGAGGTGTTCCAGCGAGTGTCTCTGTAGATCTTAGAAAACTATTTCTTGATTTAAGTCGTTGACGTGCTAGCTGATGCCCAAACAAGGGATGAGCTGGAGATGTCTCTGCCTTGGTCCTTTCACTATTGGCTGCTACTTCCCGGCGGATGTCAGGTGGTGCAATACCGGCTAAGCAGTGTAATTTCTCCAGTGGTGTAGGGCACAGACACCCTGTGATAATGCGGCATGTCTCATTAAGAGCCACATCCACTGTTTTAGTGTGGTGAGATGTGTTCCACACTGGGCATGCATACTCAGCAGCAGAGTAGCATAGTGCAAGAGCGGATATCTTCACTGTGTCTGGTTGTGCCAGTCAGCTTTCGTATGATATTGTTTCTAGCACCCACTTTTTGCTTGATGTTCAGGCAGTGCTTCTTGTAGGTCAGAGCACGGTCCAGAGTGACTCCCAGGTATTTGGGTGCATTGCAATGCTCCAGTGGGATTCCTTCCCAGGTGATCCTCAGAGCTCGGGATGCTTGTCTGTTCTTGAGATGAAAAGCACATGTCTGTGTTTTAGATGGATTAGGGATCAACTGGTTTTCCCTGTAGAAGGCAGTACATCATCAGGTGTGATGAGGAGAGTATGCATCCCTTCTTAATACAGTATGCATCCAATCCTTAAAAAATATCGTATATGTGTTCTCATTTCAAGAACCAAAAGCTCAAAACATGGCTAGATTCTTGGTTCCAGCAAACTACCCCATTTTACTGTTGATTTACCTAAAGTACCATAGGTCTTTGGACTAGCAGTGGATGAAGCAAGATTGGTAAATGAGCCTTCCTTATAGGTCTCTGCATTCCCAACAAGTTTAGATCTGTGAAAATAAAAATGGCTCTGAGCCGTATTATTTTCTTTGTTTCTCTGTCTCCCCAGCAACTGTCTGTTTATTTGCTCATTCAGAATTCAGAAATGCATCCCCACCCATCAGTGCAACCACTGGACTTCACTCAGTAGTGCAAATGCTGTTATCTAGATTGTAGAGGGTCACACACTGTGTTGTTTATCTAGACATAGCTCATGGGCTTCAGAGGAGCCAAAATCAAAGCAAATGAGCTGTTAGAGGAAGGTACATTGACATCCTCCATAATCCTAGGTTCCTCATGCCTAGCTATGATTTTGCTCTAAAACCCACGCCAGCTGTTTACTGGATGATGAGCTGTCAAAGAACAGTAGTCTCCTGTCGAATGCTAACATTCTTGACATCAGGTTCAAGACTGTGAACTTTTGTGTTTGACCTAAAATGCTGTAATGCAGTCGTATGTTGAGTCCTTTTGAGGCCCTTGAGGTTATACATGTGCAACTGAGCACTGGATTTTAGCCAATGTCCTTTGAATAGCACTCAAACACGGTTGTGATGTGCAAAAAAGAGCACTTTTCAGAAGTGGAGCAAAAGAGGGAGGAACAACACAAAATGCATAAAGAACACTTATACAATGTACAGTCAAGATAATGATGATGATGATGATGATGATGATGATGATGATGATGATGATGATAATAATAATAGCATCTGCCTGCAACAAAGAACTGGTGGGATCACAAACCTGAAAAAGTTACAGAAAATGAACACGTTAAACTACTCTGGGACTTCCGAATTCAGACAGACAGAGTTTTGGAGCACAATACTCCTGACCTCACAATCATGTTAAAAAACAAAGTATGGATCATTGATGTTGCAATCCCAGGTGACAGCAGGATTGAAGAGAAACAACTGGAAAAGCTGACACGATATGAGGATTTAAAGATCGAACTGCAAAGACTCTGGCACAAGCCAGTCAAGGTGGTCCCAGTGGTGATCGGCACACTGGGTGCAGTGCCTAAAGACCTTGACCTGCACTTAAACACAATCGGCGCTGACAAAATTACCATCTGCCAGCTGCAGAAGGCCACCTTACTGGGATCTGCCCGCATTATTCGCTGATACATCACACAGTCCTAGACACTTGGGAAGTGTCCGACGTGTGATCCAATACAGCAGCCAGCAGAGTGATCTTGTCTGCTGTGGACTCATCTTGTTGTGTTTCAAATAATAATAATAATAATAATAATAATAATAATAATAATTTATTTATACCCCACCACCATCTCCACAAAGGGAACTCGGGGCGGCTTACATGAGGCCAAGCCCAGCGATACACCAGGGCAATAAAATATAAGCAACAAAAATAACATCACAATAAAATAAACAAGCAATTCAAGTAAAATAAACAGTGCAAAATAACATAATGGAAAATAATGAGGAGAATAATACTTGATACTTATTTTACCTTGGTAAGATATGTATTAACCTTGATGTATGTACTCCCCCCACCTCCCACCCCCCCAAAAAACCAGGCAGTCGTGTCTCCACACTTCAGACACGACTGAGAATCTGGTTTGCCTGAGGCATTCTGGTGAGTTAATGACCGTAGCAGAAGTTTACACTCATACTCTGAATTATTGTATTGATGTGGCATAACTCTTGTTGCACCTTAAAGTATATCTTGTGCAAGATGTTGTTGAAGCAAGAAAGTGTGCAGTAGACATTTGACATGGAGACAGATTGTGTATAATGACATTTGGGACAAGAAATTGTACCACCTAAGGTGGGAGGACACGCAGATTGCCCTCTTTGACAAGTTTGTGACTTCACTTCAGTATCCGCAGCAGCTGCAGCATAAGTGAGCCTACCTATCAGTGTCTCACCCTTCCTCAGTTATTATAGGCAGAGTCACCTTTCATGTACTAGTTTGCAGAAACAACTTTGATTTAAAGTAAATCAGAGAATGGATCAGGCACTCTAGAGTACATATTCTAGCAGCACTTCTGGCAGGCAGGCACTTGGCTTACTGACAAAGGGAACAGAGAAGGAGTGGCTGTAGGTCACCCAGCATGGTGTGCGTCAGGTGGGAAGCTGAAAGGTGGCCCGGTGGAAAGTCTGTCACTCTTTGGCCCCTTGCATACAGCTTAATAAAATCCCACATTTTGGTTTGAACTGAAATATATGGCAGTGTGAACTCAAATAAACCAGTTCAAGGCAGATACTGTGAGATTTTGTGCCTTGCTATTCTGGGTTATATGGCTGTGTGGAAGGGCCTTTCTCATAATAAAGATGGCAATTCAGTTGGGTACCCAAGCATTGTGGGCTAGGGCCCAGAGTGCAAAATACCATTTGTAAAATTATTACTGTTGTTTGCATATGTGCCTTTATGTTGCCTGTCAGTTTATGCGACCTCGTGAATTTCCCAGGGTTTTCAGAGGCAAGGGATATTCAGAAGTGGTTTTGCCAGTTCCTTCCTCTGAAATATAGCCACAGCATCTCGTATTCATTGGTGCAAGTATGCTCAGCTTCCAAGGCCCCTTTTACATTGCGATACAATCCAAATTATCAAAGCAGATAATCCACATTAGCTGCTTTGAACTGGATTGTATGAGCCTACACTGCCATGAATCCAGTTCAAAGCATAGAATCTAGATGTTATATGGCAGTGTAGAGGGGGGCCTTTTTTTCACACTGCCTGAGCTCTGCGAGTGCACCTTTTTTCTGAATGAAGCAGAGAGCATTTGAGAACTGGTTGCTTGTTTATAAAGCTATTGTCCTCCCAGACCTGCTATACACTTGCAAGACGTGGACTATCTACAGACGTCACATGCAACTCCTGGAACAATTCCATCAGCGTTACCTCCAAAAAATCCTGCAAATCTCTTGGGAAGACAAGTGGACAAATGTCAGTGTGCTGGAAGAAGCAAAGACCACCAGTATTGAAGCGATGGTCCTCTGCCATCAACTCTGCTGGAGTGGGCACATTGTCTGGATGCCGGACCACCGTCTCCCAAAGCAGTTGCTCTACTCCGAACTCAAGAACAGAAAACGGAATATTGGTGGGCAGGAAAAGAGATTGAAAGATGGGCTCAAAGCCAACCTTAAAAACTCTGGCATAGACACTGAGAACTGGGAAGCCCTGGCCCTTGAGCACTCCAGCTGGAGGCCAGCTGTGACCAGCAGTGCTGTAGAATTTGAAGAGGCACGAATGGAGGGCGAAAGAGAGAAACATGCCAAGAGGAAGGCGCGTCAAGCCAACCCCAACCGAGACCGCCTTCCACCTGGAAACCAATGCCCTCACTGTGGGAGAAGATGCAGATCAAGAATAGGGCTCCATAGTCACCTACGGACCCACCAGTACACTGATCTTGGAAGACTATCCTACTCAGACAACAAGGAATCACCTAAGTGTAAGTGTAAAAAAGAGGGGGCCAAGATCAGACAGTATCTCGTGACTGTGATGTTTACTACATCAGAAATGTAGTACTCATGATAAGTGCCACTATAACAGCCTGTGAAATTGTGTCAGACCTGCAGATGAATTCGAAATCCACTGTAAATGTGAATGTAAAAAAGCACAGTAATCTTACAAAACACAGTGTGTTTTTCTTTGTATGTTTTTGATCATCTTAAGCCTCTTCTGCACTGCCATATAAAATCCAGATTATCTGCTTCGAAGTGGATTATGTGGCAGTGTAGGCTCATATAATCCAGTTCAAAGCAGATAATGTGGATTATTCTGTGTACGAACCCACATGATCTCTTTGATCATCTGGAGAGGCTCTGCTCACGCTCCCACCTCCTTCGCAGGCGCAATTGGTGGGGGTGAGGGAGACCGCCTTCTCGGTGGTAGCCCCCCGACTCTGGAATTCACTTCCCAGGGACATCAGACATGCCTCAGTGCTGGCAGTCTTTAGGAGGAGCTTGAAAACGTGGTTGTTCCAGTGTGCCTTCCCAGAATAAGGAAAACTCTCAGCAATATGCCCTCAAAATGCACTTTACCACAGATTTAGGACTGACTGTATTCCCTCATTTCTGAAAACCCTATCCTAGTTATATCCTACCTTGTTCATGCCCAGCATTATTTTTAATTCTAACCTATTACTTGGCCCAGCCATTGGTTTTAAACGTCTATATACCACTGTTCGATTGTTTATTGCTTATTTTTTGTCTATGTGATTTATATGATTTGTATGTGATTTGTATTTTATTGAGTGTTTTATTGATGTTTTGTGTATTGATGTTTGTTTACTGATGTATTTTGGGCTTGGCCTCATGTAAGCTGCACCTAGTCCCTTGGGGAGATGGTAGCGGGGTACAAATAAAGATGATGATGATGATGATGATGATGATTATTGTATTGTCGAAGGCTTTCATGGCCGGAATCACTGGGTTCACACCTAGCTGCAGCAGATAAAAGTCCTTTGGTTCTTGTGGGTTTTTTTGGGTTATAGGGCCATGTTCTAGAGGCATTTCTCCTGACGTTTCGCCTGCATCTATGGCAAGCATCCTCAGAGGTAGTGAGGTCTGTTGGAAGTAGGAAAAGTAGAAAAGTCCTTTGTCCCACCCTGGTCATTCCACAGATATATAAACCCATTTTCCTACTTCAAACAGACAGATCTCACAACCTCTGAGGATGCTTGCCATAGATGCAGGTGAAACGTCAGGAGAAAATGCCTCTAGAACATGGCCATATAGCCCGGAAAAATTTACAACAACCCAATTATTATTATTATTATTATTATTATTATTATTATTATTATTATTATTATTATTATTACTATTATTATTATCTGCCTTGATAATATGGATTATATGCCAGTGTAGAAGGAGCCTTGTTTCGTCAAGGAGCTTTAAATTAATTAAACTAATTAATTAATTAGTTAGTTAAAATGAGAGCTGTGGATTGCTGTAGCTCTGGGAACATGCTTCCTGCTCGAGAATGAATGAGTCTTTGCAGTTGCCTTCATGTGTTTGCAGTTGCCTTCATGTGTTTCTAACCAGCAGACACATCCTGCAGGCTTTTGTTGGGGGAAACATGTGACCTACTGCATAATACAAGCTCTTGGAAAGAGTTTCTGCTTTCTGATTTTTCTCTCTCCTTTCTTTTTGTGCGTACTGCTCATCCAGGAATCATGAATGTACTCGGAAGCTGAAAAACGTAAGTATTCACATTCGTAGCTATATCGCTCCCCCATCCTCACCGTGGGCTGGTTTTGTTGTAACAGACAAGGCTTGAATCTCAGATGTAGTTATATGGATCAAAAGAGCTTTTGTGTATTGGCATGCACTTTGTCTCTTTGCAATTCACAATCTGTGGTGCTTCTGTCGAAAGCTATCTGTGCTCCAGCTTCAGCTAGGAAAGAACGCAGCAGCTCCCGTTGGCACCAGCAGGGTTTTAATGTTTGGCACAAACAAAGCAGTCCTGCTTTTTTAACAAAAAATATATCTCCTTTGTGATTTTGTTACAAAAAGGAACTTGGATTTCTGCAAAGCTAACAGATTTCTGCCTGACACTTCAAGAAATGGCATTGACGTTCTAATCTAAACTGTGCTGTATGAACTTGGCAGTCCTGTCGTTCTTCGTCGGAGTTGCGCGCTTCCCTTTGTGCTTGTGTTTTCCATATGGAATAGTAGTTTCAAAGCAACCTTTTCTGCTCCCTTGCCTTGTTGATTGAAAACAGTAGTAGGAGTTGTAGTTTTGTAACTGTACAATGAAGGACGTCTTAAATTCTGCTGGTCACAGAGTTAGATAAACTATTCAAAGCCAGACAAAACTCCAGGTTTTATTGTCAGCTCTAAACTCCTGAGCATTCAAGTTGTGCTTGGCTGAAATCCTTCGACTCTAGGGAAATGCCAAAAACCTTTCAGTAATAACTTTTCAAGCCTTGAATCATAGTTACAGGTAAAAAGGGCATAGTTACTTGGTCCTGCCTTTCCTGTCATCAATACTGTAATTGTTTTTCCTCCATCAGTGTGTGAATATATAAGGGAGCCATTTAGAGTGCTTGCATTTAAAGTTTCCTGATGCAGGTTTTCCTATATTTTAAATAAATCTACCCAGAGTGTCTTGTTTTTCAAAAAGAGGCGTACATAACTATTCATTATAATTATTCACAATTACTCATTGTAAGAAATAATGATCTATATAAATAAAAATGTAATGTTCGTTTGTGGGATTAACAGAATTCAAAAATCACTGGGGGAATTGACACCAAATTTGGACACTATACCCCTAACAGTCCAACAAGTGACCATCACTCATAAAAAAAACCCAAAACAGCAGAAAGGACTTAAAAAACCCCAAAAAGCTAAATGACATACAGAAAAAATGGAAAGAAGAGGGAGGGAAGGAAGGGGAGAAAGAAAGGAAGGGAGGGAGGGAGGGAGGGAGGGAGGGAGGGAGGAAGGAAGGAAGGAAGGAAGGAAGGAAGGAAGGAAGGAAGGAAGGAAAGGAAGGAAGGAAGGAAGGAAGGAGAAGAAAGAAGAAAGAGGAAGAAGCATGGAAGCAAAGAGCAAAGGAGGAAGGAAAGAGGTAAAGGAAGGAAGGAAGAAAAAGAGGAAGAGAAAAAAGGGGGAAGGAAGAAGAGGAGAAAAGGAAGGAAGAAAGAAAGAAAGAAAGGAGGGAAGAAAGAGAGAAGGAAGGAAAGAAGAGGAAAAGGGGAGGGAAGGAAGGAAAGAGAGAAGGAAGGGTGAAGAAAAAGCGAAGGAAGAAAAAAGGAAGGAAGGAAGGAAGGAAGGAAGGAAAGAGGTAGAGAAGGAAGGAAGGAGAGAAGGAAAGAAGAAAACAGAAGGAATAAAGGAAAGAAGGAGCAAAGGAAGGAGGGAAAGAAGGAGGGAAAGAGGGAGGGAAGGGAAGAAGGAAAGAGAGAAGGACGGGTGGGAAGGAAGGAAGGAAGGAAGGAAGGAAGGAAGGAAGGAAGGAAGGAGAGAAGGAAAGAAGAAAACAGAAGGAATAAAGGAAAGAAGAAGCAAAGGAAGGAGGGAAAGAAGGAGAGAAAAAGGGAGGGAAGGTTGGCCACAGCAACACGTGGCGGGTACAGCTAATAATAATAATAATAATAATAATAATAATAATACTTTATACCCTGCCTCCATCTCCCCCAAGGGGACTCGGGGAAGCTTACATAAGGCCACACCCTCAATACAGTAAAACACAATATAAACACAAAAACACAATAAAGGATCAGAAAATAAATTACTTAAGATGCAAACCAATATAAGTAAATGACCCAGCAACATAAAATCAAACATTAAAACTCCTCGAATTTGGGCAGGGCCAAATTCGAGGATAAAATTTTAAAACACTGGGAGATAGGACAATGTAAAAACCAGGGAGAGGATCCAAGGTGGGATTTAATTGCACGAACCATAAAATAAAGTGCTTCTGAGAAAGGCAGGCTCGCTTTCCTAAGTGATACTCAAGCAGGTTTACTAAACAAGGGTCCATAATCAAAACTCATTCGATTAAATCCCAGCAGATTTTACGTCTAGTAATAACAGCAGTTGAACTTTAGAGTAGGGATTGGCAACTGGGTTATTCTGACGGCCCCATTTCTACCCAAAGATCTTGAGGAGTAGCAGAGATTTGCCAAAAATGCCAGAATGAAAATTTAAAAATGTGCAACTGACTGGAAGTCCCAATTTTAGTTTTGAAAAACAAAAATTTTAAAAAATGTTAAACAGTGAGCCATTGCAAGCAGTTTCAAAGATGAATGACTCATGATACCAACAACAACTACTTTATTCTTGTATCCCGCCACCATCTCCTCAAAGGCACTCGTGGTGAATTACACACACCACAAGGTGCCTAAAAACAGAAGATAAAATAAACATTGCCATAAGTTGTGTGATCTTCTTCCACTTGCTGCTCACTGATCAAATGCTTGGTCCCATAACCAGGTCTTGATTTTCCTTCTAAAAGACAAGAGGGAGGGGGCCAATCTGATCTCTAGGGAGGGCGTTCCATAGGTGGGGGGCCACTGCTGAGAAGGCCCTGTCTCTCGACCCCATTGACCATGTTTGCGATAGTGGTGGAATCGAGAGCAGGGCCTCTCCTGAAGATCTTAAACTTCGTGATGGTTTGTGGCAGGAGATTAGCAGTAATTTCAAATGAAGGAAAGGATGACATTGTAAAAGATGGTTCAAATATTGTCAGGAAGAAAAAATATTCTAAGCTAATTCGTACCCAATCAAAATATCATATCAGGAAATGTATTATGAAAACTTTGGCTTCCTAAACAGTAAAATTGTGGAAAGATTTTCAGTTCACATCATTATATGCGGGTGTGTTTTCCGCTGCTACCCTGCTGCCCATAATGAGTTTATTTCTGTGAGTGGAAGTTTCCTGTCTCTTACCTGCTCTTTATCTGAATGGATCTCAAATCTGCACCTGCAATTTCTACTAGGCCTGGGTAACAACGGAAAAATTTGTTTCTAAAATCGATTCGTTTTTTGGGGTTTTTTGCGTTTCGTTATTTAAAATAATTACAAAATTTTCCTTTAAAAAAGTTTGATATTTACGAAATTTTGTAAATGTGAAAAAATTACGAAACAATAATGAATCGATTTCCGAAACAATAACGAATCGATTCGTTAATGGCGGACGCGACCGCGCAATACGCTAAAAAACCTCCAAATGGGACAGGGGGAACTTCTGAAGCTTAATTAAACCAAAAACAACTATAAAAACCCTTAGAAAACCAAAAACAACTATAAAACTTGCCCCAGACATGCGGAAATAATAACGAAACGACCTCAAAACGATAACGAAACGAATACAATAACGAAATACAAACCATTTACGAAACGATTTAAAAATTCAGTTTTTAGAAAAATTGCTCCAGACTGGTTCGTTATCGTTTTGTAATTGAAAAATTAACGAATTTTTTAACGAATTACGAATTAACGAAACGAAACCGCCCAGCCCTAATTTCTACATAAACAGGAAAATAATTTTATTTAATAAATATTGAGTTGTAAATACAGACCGTGGCATTTTCAAATAAGTAGCCATGTTGGTCTCTTGCAGTATCAAATGGAGGAATGAAGGGAGAAGTGTAGCAGCACCTTTAAGACTAAATTATTTTTATTTTTGCAGTAGCTTTCATAGATACAAACCCACTTCTTCATATGCAGTAAAGATAGTGCTTTCTCGCATTGATATATATTTATTTATCATGTCAGGAGCAACCAGATATTTGTATTACATTTTTAACAAAGCAAACAAACAAACAAACAAACAAACAGGCAAAACACAAAGTTTGCAAGCTTGGTAGTTGATTAAATGTCTTTTGACCAGTATCTGGCCACTTGGAGTGCCTCTGGTGTTGCCGCAAGGAGGTCCTCCATTGTGCACGTAGCAAGGCTCAGGTTGCATTGCAGCAGGTGATCTGTAGTTTGCTCTTCTCCACACTCGCATGTTGTGGATTCCACTTTGTAGCCCCATTTCTGAAGGTTGGCTCTGCACCTCGTGATGCCAGAGCGCAGTCTGTTCAGTGCCTTCAAAGTCGCCCAGTTTTCTGTGTGCCCAGGGGAGAGTCTCTCATTTGGTATCAGCCATTGATTGAGGTTCTGGGTTTGAGCCTGCCACTTTTGGACTCTTGCTTGCTGGGGTGTTCCAGCGAGTGTCTCTGTAGATCTTACAAAACTATTTCTTGATTTAAGTCGTTGACGTGCTGGCTGATACCCAAACAAGGGATGGGCTGGAGATGTCACTGCCTTGGTCCTTTCACTATTGGCTGCTACTTTCCGGCAGATGTCAGGTGGTGCAATACCAGCTAGACAGTGTAGTTAAAACAGTGGATGTGGCTCTTAATGAGACATGCCGCATTATCATGGGGTGTCTGCGCCCTACACCACTGGAGAAATTACACTGTCTTGCATTGATACTAACTGACCACTGTAAATATCTGGAAGAACTCTGTTACCTTATGCAGTCCTTTGAAACTTTATGGCAAGAGTCATGGTTTGCATCGTTTTCGATCCAATTGCATTCTGTCTCACTTCTACAACTAATTAAGTTAGATTTTTGTCATCTTGTCTTGGCTATCTATCATTCCAGTTCCAGGCAAAGTGCTGGTTTTAACTTTTAAAGCAGAAGCAGGCAAAATGCAGCCTCCAAATGTTGTTGGGGTGAAAATTCTAGTATTCCACATCATTCACTTTATTGCTTTGGGCAGATGCGAATTAGAATGCAACATCTTGAGAGCTATGCAATCCCCACCTCTGCTTTAAAGTTCTCCTAGCCTATATATTTAGAATCATAGAATCAAAGAGTTGGAAGAGACCTCATGGGCCATCCAGTCCAACCCCCTGCCTAGAAGCAGGAAAATTGCATTCAAAGCACCCCTGACAGATGGCCATCCAGCCTCTGTTTAAAAGCTTCCAAAGAAGGAGCCTCCACCACACTCCAGGCCAGAGAGTTCCACTGCTGAACGGCTCTCACAGTCAGGAAGTTCTTCCTCATGTTCAGATGGAATCTCCTCTCTTGTAGTTTGAAGCCATTGTTACGTGTCCTAGTCTCCAAGGAAGCAGAAAACAAGCTTGCTCCCTCCTCCCTGTGACTTCCTCTCACATATTTATACATGACTATCTCCTCTCAGCCTTCTCTTCTTCAGGCTAAACATGCCCAGCTCTTTAAGCCGCTCTTCATAGGGCTTGTTCTCCAGACTCTTGAGCGTATCAGTCGTCCTCCTCTGGACACATTCCAGTTTGTCAATATCTGTCTTCAATTGTAGTGCCCAGGACTGGACACAGTATTCCAGGTGTGGTCTAACCAAGGCAGACTAGAGGGGTAGCATGACTTCCCTAGATCTAGACATTATGCTCCTATTGATGCAGGACAAAATCCCATTGGCTTTTTTTGCCACCACATCACATTGTTGGCTCATGATTAACTTGCTGTCCACGAGGACTCCAAGATCTTTTTCACACATACTGCTCTCGAGCCAGGCATCGTCCCCCATTCTGTATCTTTGCATTTCGTTTTTTCTGCCTAAGTGGAGTATCTTGCATTTGTCACTGTTGAACTTCATTTTGTGTTGTTGCCGGATGTCGGAAGGGCTACTGCCTCCTTGCTTTTATCCCTTCTTTATTTTCCCTCCCCTACCTTTTCCCCTGTAGAAGGGGCCAAGGTCTTTTCAATTGTAGCTCTCATCTGTGGAACATTTCCATTCTCCTCCTTGGGGGGTTCCACTGGGTGCCTTACTTGTCGTAGTTTGATTATTTTGTGATGTTTTTATTCTTTGCTACTAATTTTAGTTTGTGATTTTAAAATATATCATTATTGCATTATTTGTGTTTTTTAATATATTGTGCGTTGCTAAGAGAATTCTGATTGTAGGGAAATCTAAAAGTACAACTATCTAACTTAATAATTTTTTGAATTGAGATTAAAACAGCTGCGATGGATCAGGCCCAAGGCCTATCCGGTCCAGCATTTAGTTCACACAGTGGTCAAACGTATGTCTGTGGGAAACACAGAAGCAGGATATGAGTACAATAGCATCTTACCATTGGTTTTCCCCTGCAACTGATATTGAGAGGTGTCACTGATAATTTTTTTATGATACAGAAATTACAGTGGCTAAAACACCTTAGAATTGCACATTAATCATACCAAACCCTCTATTCTAGTAGAATTACAGCACAAAACATATCCGCAAACATCCATGCCAAATTGCAGTACTTTAGCCTTTTATTGTTAGTAACATATAAAGATAGATTTAAGCAATTTTCAAAGTTTAATTGCTTTACAGAGTTTTGACTCTTGACACGATGTTGGGCAGGGTTTCCTTTCTATCGCTTATCAAATATTTTGGAACAACATTTGACAATGTTTTTGCTTCTTAGCTTACATTCAAAATTCCAGCATGCTTGTGTGGCTAGAAAGTCTTTACAACAGTGTTATATTTAATGCTGGTGCTCATGGCCTTCCGTAAGATGACAGTTTATCTCCTGTTTTGAAAGAACGAATGACCAGTGATTTAATGTGATTTACAAAAACAGAGAGAGATTTAAACAAAGTTTCCATACTAGACTGAACAAATGACTTTCACAGACCTTTCTCAAATAATGCTAATTTATTTTTTCAGGTTTTAGTCACCATCTATTGGCTGGGAAAAACAGCAAACAGCAGCACTTACTTCAGTGGAGCAACGCTGAACCTGAAGGAGTTTGAAGGATTATTAACCCAGATGAAAAAGGTATTTTTGGAGATTAAAAATAGTGGGCTTCTAAAAATAAATGCATGTATATTAAAGGCTTAGCTTTCTCCCAGATACTGTGGCTTGCGTCCAACAGATTTTGTCTGAACTATTTGGGAAGCATATGGATACTGACTGTGAAGTGACATATCACATATGAACGACGTATCGGCACCTTCCACGCAGCTGAATAAAATCCCACATTATCTGCTTTGAACTTGAATATATGGCAGTGTGGACTCAGATAACCCAGTTAAAAGCAGGTATTATGGGATTTTCTGCCATGTTATCCTGGGTTATATAACTCTGTGGAAGGGCCCATGATTGTAGTGTAGAGCTTTGAGGCAGTGTTTTCTACAGCACTCCTATAAAGTAAGGGTGCAGCCCTACTTTTTTGTGTTGGAGATGAAACTGTTGTCCAGACACATCTGTTGTGGTTATTGTTTGTATTTCTCTGCCAACTTTAAAGCTTTAAATGTATTTATCAATGTAATGGTATAGGGAATAAAAACTAATTAATACATTGCCTCTAGGCATGGTTAGGTACCATTGGAATATTCGTAATTTGGAATAAATTTGGAAAAATTACCTTTTTGAAGTGATTTTGAAGTTTTTAAGAAAACCGGAAATCCCTTTGCCCTTCCGAAGCTTGTCTCGCCATTGTGAGTCGGAAGTGACTCAGTGTTTGGAGGCAAGCAGCTTGCATGCTGGGATGCTTGTCTCTCAGCCAATAAGGGGAGAAGTTTTGGGGAGGGGAGGGGCAGGGTTTCGGCACGGCAGCCATTGTGAAGTTTTTAAGAAAAGGGCAGCTCAGAGGCTCATTGTGAGCCTGGGAAGGGAAGGGGAAAGGGGAAAGGGAAAGGGAAGGGAGGTTGGAAGAAGAGTGGTTGGAAGACCAGTGCAAGCGGAAAAGGGCTGGGAGCAGGACTATTGCCTGCCTGTCTTATAACCACTTGTGTGTTGTTGCTGTTGCGGGGGAAGAAGAGCAGGGAACCAGGGCAGGGAGAAGAGCTGTTGCCTGCCTGGGCTGCCTTGCAGCCACTTGTTTGTTTTTGCTGTTGGGGTTTGGGACGGGTGGGCGATGCGTGGGTGGGTAATATTGAGGTGTGAGGGTGCAGTTTGTTTCCTCAGTTGGCATGGCATTGCCAAATAGTCAAAATATTATCCTTCCGAAAGTTGTAAAATCAACTTCAAAAAGCCAAAAAGGCCTCTCCCTGCTCTTTGTGTCCTTAGTTGCTTTATGTTGCTACTGAGGAGACAATAGAAATCCCATACAGTCAAAATATTTTCCTTCCTGAAGGTGTGAAATCAACTTCAAAAAGCCAAAAAGGCCTCTCCCTGCTGTTTGTGTCACAGTGGCAAGTTTTGTTAGGATTGGTCTAAAAATGAGGGAGAGAGAATCCCCTGAAGTTTGCCCAGTGCCATTTGCTGTTTTTCGCATATTGCACAATCACGTCCCCCATTAATGAAGCAATTCGGAAAATTCGGAAAGTTCCAAAAAAAATTCGGAAAAATTCGGAATTCCTTTCCGAAACCAACCACCTGCACTCCCTACATCCAAAGCAAGTTTTGAACCATTTTTTTGGATCAACCATGCCTAATTGCCTCCTTAAAATGCAGATTGTAGTGCAGAAGTTTTTTTTGTCATGAGCAGATATTTTTTTGTGGACTACCATACCCCCTTGAACAAAAATGTCATCAAAAGTTATGCTCCTGTGAGCCACCATAGGTTGCAGTTACACTTCTTAGGGAATATCTAGCCTATAGACATTGAAGTTTTGCATACTACACCGTCTTCCTGGGCTCATAATACTATCTACTATTATTTCAGATGAGCTGCAGAGAGAAATAAGCCTGCTGCTCACTGATTTCTGAAAGCACTCTGCTCTATCATCAATACAGGTTGAGTATTCCTTATTTGAAATTTCTAGGACCAGACGTATTTTAGGTTTTGGATTTTTTTCAGATTTTGGAATACCTGTAATGAGATATCATGGAACCAAGTCTAAATATGAAATTCATTTATGTTTCATATGCACCTCATAACTTGAAGTTTATTCATACACAATATTTTTTTCAACTTTGTGCATGGAACAAAGTTTGTGTACTCTGAACCATTACAAATCAAAGGTGGCACTATCTTTGCAACCTATGTGAACAATTTTAGAATATTTTGGCTTTTGAAATACCAGATAAGGGATTCTCAACCTATAATGGGATATTTTGTTGGAGAATGCTAGGAAAGGTATAAACATCTCCACCAACTTCTATCAATGTTACCACTGGTTACAGTTTTCCTGCTGCTTCGAGAGATATATAATATTATGTAACAAAATTTTGAAAAAAATCTGTTCCTGGTTTGAAAGTGTTATTTCCTGTTTAATTGCATGGTATTTATTTTGAAAGTAGTTGCTATACTCCAGAAACTTTGTTTTTGTGGCTGCCACAAGCTATGTTGTATTGGACTCTATGAGATATCTATCTATTAGGCTTGGGTAACTACGGAAAAATTTGGTTCTAAACTCGTTTCATTTTTAGGGGGGCCCTTGCATTTCATTTTTTTAAAGAATTCCGAAATTCCTTTAAAAAATTTCGAAATATACGAAATTTCGTAAAATTACGAATCGATTCGTTAATGGCGGACGCGATTGCGCAATATGCTAAAAAACCCTCCAAATGGGACAGGGGGAACTTCTGAAGCTTCCCTCTCCCTCTGTTGTTGACTGTTGGTGTGATAATTTATTTTTTATCACTGATAAAACAAACAAAAACTATAAAACTTGCACCAGACATACGGAAATAATTACGAAACAATTTCGAAACAATTTTGAACCAATTACGAAACAATTACAAAACAATACGAAATAAATTGGAAAAATTGTTTCGATTTTTAATTACTCCTCACAGTAGTCCTGCATGGCTCAATATTGGATCGTAAGCTAATTTAAATACGAATTAATAATGAATTACGAAATTAACGAACGAAACCACCCAAGCCTACTATCTATCTATCTATCTATCTATCTATCGTGTCAGAAGCAAACTGAGGGTACAGTAATAATAATAATAATAATAATAATAATAATAATAACAACAACACTTTATTTGTACCCCGCTACCATCTCCCCAAGGGACTCGGTGTGGCTTACATGAGGCCGAGCCCAAATACAACAATACAAGCAATAAAACAACAATACAAGCAATTAAAATAATAATAATAAAAAACATAGACAATAAAAATATACAACATTATCAATAAGACAACACACAATTAAAAACAGTGGGAAGGCCAAATGTACAGTTGAAATTGGAAATAATGATGGGACATAGACGAAAAGGAGATAGTGGTGTATTCAAAAGAAACAACTGAGTTAAAAACTTGGCATTATACTAAATGTGCTTTGACCAGAAACTGGTCACTTGGAGTGCTTCTGATGTCACTGTGAGAAGGTCCTCCATTGTGCATGTAGCAGGGCTCAGGTGGCATTGTAGTAAGTGGTCTGTGGTTTGCACTTCTCCACACTTGAATGTCATGGTCTTCACTTTGTAGCCTCATTTCTTAAAGTTAGCTCTGCATCTCGTGGTGCCAGACCACAGTCTGTTCAGTACCTTCCAAGTCTTCTGTGTACCCAGGAGGAAGTTTTTCATCCAGTATCAGCCATGAATTGAGGTTCTGGGTTGTAACCTGCCACCTTTGGACTCTTACTTGCTGAGGTATTCCTGTGACTATCTCTGTAGTTCTTAGGAAGCTGTTTCTTGATTTAAGTCATTGGCATGGTGGCTGATATCCAAACAGCGATGGGCTGGAGATGTCCTTTCATTACAGGCTGTTACTTCCTGATGGATGTCAGGTGGTGTGATACCAGCTAAACGGTATAATTTCTCCCGTGGTGTGGTGTATAGACATCCTGTGATAATGCAGCATGTTTCATTAAGAGCCACACCCACTGTTTTAATGTGGTGAGATGTATTCCACACTGGGCATGCATATTCAGCAGCACTGTAGCAAAGCTCAAGGACAGATGTCTTCACTGTATCAGGTTGTGATCCCTAGGTTATGCCAGTCAGCTTTCGTATTATATTATTTCTTGCACTCACTTTTTGCTTGATAGTCAGGCAGTGCCTTTTGTAAGACAGAGCACGATCCAGAGTAACTCCCAGGTGTTTTAATGTGCTGCAATGTTTCAGTGGGATTCCTTCCCAGGTGATTCTCCGAGCTCGAGATACTTATCTGTTATTAAGATGAAAAGCACATGTCTATGTTTTAGATGGATCAGGGATCAACAGTTTTTCCCTGTAATAGGTAGTAAGAGCACCTAAAGCTTCGGAGATTTTCTGTTCAACCATTTCAAAGCTCCCTGCTTAAGCGGTGATGGCACAGTCATCAGCATAGATGAAACTCTCTGTCCCTTCTGGCAGTGCCTGATCATTTGTGTTCCTTTAAAAACTACAGTAAAATGTGCTGCAAGATGTCACACAAAAAAAAGTTTTTGCAGTTTAATAAACTTTTACTGTTTTTAAATGATAGAACCATTTAGGAAATGACATTTATAACTCAGGAACAAAAATAATGTTACATAGTGTACAGTGTTCCCTCACTTATCACGGGGGTTCCGTTCCAGGACCGCTCGCGATAAGTGAAAATCCACAAAGTAGGGATGCCATGTTAATTTTAATATTTATACATTATTTTATATATTTTATACATTATTTTCATACCCGCGCTTCCTTACCTGCCTCCTGGCCCATCCCAAAGGTGCCTCCCTGGGCTCCGCAGACCCCAGCAGAGCCTCCGGAGCCACACAGGCAGCAGCAGGCGAGGAAGACAGACCTTCCCTGCCGCGTCTCAGGCCGCCACACTTCTGGTGTCCCCGGCCTCCACTGGATGTAAATATTTTATATTCTATATTTTTTTATTATTTTCAAAAACCCACGAAACAGCAAGTCCACTAAAAGTGAGCCCCGAAGTAGCAAGGGAACACTGTAATTGTTTCAAAAGG